ATCAGGCCTGGGTGTGGCTAGAGAAATTGAACTCAGCTTTCCAAAGATGTGATAAACCACAATTGATTTAAGTTTTAACAGGGGGGGCAATCACTTTTCACACAGGGCCATGTAGGTTTGGATTTTTTTCCCCCTTAATAATAAAAACCTTCATTTAAAAACTGCATTTTGTGAACTTGTGTTATCTTTGTCTAATATTTCAATTTGTTTGATGATCTGAAACATTTCAGTGTGACAAACATGCAAAAAAATAAAAAATCAGGAAGGGGGCAAACACTTTTTCACACCACTGTAGATATGAATCTAAAACTATACCATTATATCAAATATTTAATATAGCTTTAACCTGCACGATTACCCGTATTCATTTTATATTAAGGAAAAGGTACGGGCGGAATTATGGAGACATTTGCCTCATATCTTTGTTACGGATTAATCTTTAAAATAACTTACGGTTCAAACAAGCGTTTTCGCGAACTCTAATGGAGGAGCAGTTCAGAGGTTCTCCTGTATTCGTTTTATATTCACTTTCGGAATGAAATCTCTGAGCGAATCGAAGCCTTATAGTAATTTAAAAGAAAATCTTTCCTGCACCATTCATCTACAGCTAAAACGTACTAAAATTATTACTGCATTTGCATTATATATATATCTTCTTATGGGACTAAAATAAGATAATTTAAAGTTTATCAACAATACATAATATGGGCATGACAATATATTAACACTTTTAGAAGACGTTAAGTAGAATAAAAAATAAACATTTAAAATAAAATGTCAATTCAAATAGAACCAAGTGACCTCTTAGGGAAATCTTGTTCTGGTATTCATTTTAGAACGATTAAATGCGACATATGATTAAATAAAGTAAATCTGAGGTTGTGTTGTGTACGACATTATTTAGTTAATACGTCCTAGACACAATAAGCGAGCCCAATCACTATACAGTATATAGCTACTGTCCAACGTGAACTGTTGGTAACTTCTAATTACAAAAACCGTCAGAAGGTTATAAAAAGAATACTGACAGAGGGGATGGTTTCACTATGTATAAACTTGTGTCCTCTGTGTGTTTAAATATGTCAATGCCCACAGATGAAAATTAAAATCTTACATACATAATAACTCTATGTATACTGTACATACAGTTTAAACTCGCTCTTCGAAGAGCTGGTTACAACATTCAGCACCACGGTCAGCTCCTCTTAAAAGGAGATATTTAAGAAGCGTCGGAAAACAGCAGGCCTGCGTCTGGTCAACTCCTGCTACCAAGGCTTTACTTTTAAAATACTGATGACACTTATATTGTCCTTTTATCCAGAGAGTCCCATTTTTCTTAACCATTCAATAACCAACCAACCCTGCACTGCTGTATAGAGCTGCGGAAATGATATTCCATCGTGGAAAACAGCGAAGAGATCTATTTTGTCCAAGCGGAAACCTGAGTATTAGGTTCCTAGGGATGCTGCCGTACACAATTGAGATACCTGAAAAAAAAACAACTGTCCTAAACACTGAAAGTAGAGATCTATCCTCTTTGAAGTGGGTGTGCACAACAATCCTCTAGTAAGTCGACAATAGATTCGTCATATATTTATGCTAAGGGAAATTTGACCTCAACACATCTTGTTTTACAGTTTTATCAACGATAATTTTTACATCGTAAACGTGTGATATGATCACTGTTTTAGGGCATCAGGGCTATACCTCCTTTGTGCAAAATTGGTAAACGAGACGCTATATCAAATTTCATTCCCCACAGAGTTTCAACACTCGGAGCTCTAAGTTTAAATAATTGACTTTCCCCTCTGTTGAGATGTAATTGTCCACCACAGTTGGGTTAATAAAAATATTAAATAAAACTGAATTCAACCGACTGCATTAACTGCATTCAGCAAGGTTATATTTTTTGTAATACAACAGTATTTCTCTCTAATACATACTCAAAGACATACATATTTACAAGCAAAGTAACACAAGTACACCTGTTCAGCTTTAAAAGCGCAGCTTTAAATACCTTCATTAATTCCAAACATCAAGTCTCAAACTAAGGCTTCTGCTGCAGTTCAGTCAAGCATCGCCTCAGAGAAGAGCAAGCCAAACCCAAGCAAGACTTATTGCAGGTGCCTTTTCAGAGGAGATTCTGTGCATTTCCGTTCTTGTATATGCACAAAAAACGCCACACGGGTCACACAATCGTCCGTCTGCGCCATTTTCACATTAATAGACAAAATCCTATTTAGAAAAATAAAATCACTCACGTTTTTCGCCCAACGGATTAATGGATTACGATGATTTTGTCAAGATCCATTTTCAAGGCGGTATTTGCCCGCATCCGGGGATGGCAGCTACAGTCGGGAGAGATCGCGGATGCAAAAAGATCCTGAATAATTTAGAGGCTTTCTCACGTGATCCGAGACAAATTCATTATTTAACAAGATGCCCCCCATTCAACAGCTGCATACGTCAACGACGTTCTGATGTCAGCTACCCTGGTTAGTATGATCTGGTTTATGTCTTTGCAGCGGAGTACCGAGGGTGTATTGCTCGAGCAAAGCAAAAGGATTCAAAAATCGCGAGTCACATCGCGTGGATCATGGGCACTGTTCCTGCAGGCAGGAGACAGAAAGAACATAGTTCAATAACGAGTTGAAGTAGGCAGGTTAGATTGTGGTTTAAAGCACGTACAGTTCATGAAGTCTATGCCCTTTGTCTTTGCCCTTTGATAGACAAAGCGACTTGTTAACTCAGAACGGAAATCAGTGACTTTTAGAGTAAACTGTAGCCATAAAGATAATAGATAATCTAAGGAAAAACAAACCATCAGACATCGTTAGAGACAATATTTCCAATGATTTGACCTGATGGGTCCAGCTCCAACTTTAGAAACAGACATATTAACTAGTGATGCTTTATTCTCCTTGGTACCGGACTGCTTGACTCAGCACTTTTCCTTTGAAACCTGAAACGTTCCTATGGAAAGTATTTGATGTGCTAGGGGAAAGCAATGAAGAGGAGCAAAAATACTCTTTGAGTTACATCCTTTTCTTTGCCTAAAACATGGGATAATACTGATCTTCTTTAGAGTAAATCTACTGACACCACTTTCCAGAAAAAGCAATACCCAAGGAGCAAGGATGGCTGTTGATATTGTGCTCCAAGTGTGCACAGGAGTAAAAAAAGAAGTAACCCAACCTATACTGTTTGCATATGAAAAAATCAAGTACATGGTCCAGCCCCAAAGAATGAGCTTGAGCTTCCTGCTGAGGTTGCAATGGCTCTTCGGCTTGTAGACTTTGTGCACTGATGGTTTGTGAGTAACAGACTAATCTCAGGTGTAGGGGAGATACATGGGTGAGTACGTTCACAGCCCAAGCATTCAGCATAGCATGGGCACTGTACACAAAGCTCCTTTTCCCTTGTTCACTTTACTAAGTCATGCTGACAGAAATCAGTTTGTTGACTCTTCTACACAGGTTTAAACAGGAGCTTCCCTTGTCTGTCTGGGGGATAATTCTGTACGTAAGTAGACCAGTCTTAAAATTAAAAAGGTTAATGGTTTGATCATTAGCAAACAATGCAACCTCGAATTATTTTGCACAAGAGCATTGTATAGTTTCCTTCTAACAGCCCGTATAATTCAGGATGAAAAATGTGCACTTAAACAAACAGCTGTCCTCATATCTTGAATGTTTTTCCTGGCAATGATTAATCTAGTCCCAATTGTATAATTGATCTTTTACTTTCCAATCAAATGGTTCAGTTCTTCTCTCATTAGCACAGACTGAGAATTATAATATTAGTTGCCTTTGCAACTGAACATATTTCCTCTTCCTTACTATTAAATATAATTGATATCATTGTAATGTTAAAAGTTGAATTTATGTACTGTACATACAGTACATTAATCAGAAATGCACAGAATCCTATTAAAACATGCACCTAAAACAGCATTTCAGTTACATTTCATTTGTACTGTCCGATACGGTGTAGGGTGTAAGACGTCAAGATTTTATGTACAGTAGTTTCCAGCCAGACCTATGAATGGTTCATGCACTATGTATGCTTCCTCCAGCGATGATGAAGGACAGTGCAAAATCACAGTGCTCCTGGTGTTCCTATAAGACATGATCTGCAGGTGCAGCACTGCACTCATGAGGAAGGGAACATCCACACTCCTGATAAAGCTTTGGTCTGTATTTTTTCTTGCACCAAAAACAAACATGGACATGGATGCTGGGGTCTAATTCAGCCTGCATGTCCAGAGGGCCTGAGGTTCATAACTGGTTTCCTTTAAACACGACAGTATAGCGAAACTCCATGTCTGCTTTCATTTAGTCCTTTGAGTTACACAGGTGCACGATGCTCCCCTGACCTGAGCTCACACTGGTCCTTTGCTAGCTCTGTGTAAACTGGAGTTATGGGAGGGGGAGGCAGTCAGAAGACGTGTTTAACTGTGAGCTGTCAGGTACAAGCAGAACATGTCAGGATGAGACTCTGAGATGATTAAATAATTGTGTCGTCATTTATTTTTGCTTCTGTAAATGTTCATTATGCGCAAATTTAACATTTGAAAATACACATATTGTGCAGTATGTGTATGTTCACACAGGACCTCTGTCTTTTGTGTATATGTATATTAGAAGGACTGTAAATTTAAAATCGATCTCTCTCTCTCTTTGTAAGTCGATGGATATCACGAGTTTGATGTCTGTATTAATAATTAAATTTATAATGTTTGGTAATTCCAAAATAATTACACATGATTACACCTGGTTTACTATATATGATGAGCTACGTATGAACTATGAACAGTGAAATAAAGATATACTCATGGCATATTCTACATGAATTCATGTTGTTGTCCTTATTAACCACAAATTGGGAATTTACTGCCTTCAGTCTTTTACATATTTTGAGTGGAGTTTCACAAAGAATTTGCTTGGGGTTTAACAACAAATTTATGTGAATAACATCAAGGACTTCCACAAGAGCTCATCATTTTGTAACATGTGAATTTGTACCTAAACAAGTTTAGAAGCTCTGCTGTTAAGAAACCCCCTCTTAGGCAGTGTCATTGCAAGTATAGGAGTTGCTGTGAATAGAATTTAAGGTTGCTTTTAATGTACATAAAATGAAAACATATTTGCAAATAATACCTTATGTGATCTGTATACATTTTTTTCCTATATGTCATAGATGTTCTTTCTACCTCCGTACTATTGGCTTTTCACCTCCATGGCAAAGTGCTTTGAAACATCTTGACATGATGGATGAGATGTAAAATATTAAACAATCTTTTTAGTAGTAATACTATTCAATTTGGAAAACGCCTGGGATACATTTGAGTTTTGAACTGGTTTGGTTAAATAGGACTGGCCAGCTGTCGTTCTTGAGAGCTACAGGGTCTTGATGGTTTCATTTCACATGATTTCACATGTCTATGAACAAATCACCTTCTTAACTGTCATATTGTTTTAAAAGTTGAGGGTAAGCTGTGAAACCTGCTGGTTTGGGGGTCAGTCACATCTGTTATAAACCTTCTGAAAGAAGGTGAGTTAAGGTACATTCATCCTATAAGTTCACTGTTGACATGGTATTGTTCATTTGCTGTAGATTTGTTCACATTTTGCTTTGAAAATGATTAATAAAACATATGTAGTGACTATACAACTAGAACATTTCTATCCTTCTTTGTGATGATAAATATCCTCCACTAACATAATATGTATATGACAAGATTTCTCTTGTCAGCAAAAACTGGATCATAGGACTCCATGAATCAAAAAATGCAAATGGAAATTAAAAGTATAGTATACTTTATAGTATAGTAGTATATACAGTATATATAAATCTAAACATGAACATGGAAAAAACATCAAATCACATAAAAAGTCTAGCTCATGAAGATTTCAAGATTCATAATTATGTAACGCAAATATTATGACACAAAACCTCATAATGACAAATGAACTATCTTAAATCTAAGTTCTATCTGAAATAGATGATGCTTCACAAAACGTGAAATAATGTGTGTGGAAGTTAATTATTCAGGAAGCCAATTTGCATGCCAGAGGTGCCAGGATGAGTGTAATTCCAGCAGTAATAGTTGAGTTTTTAGCCTAATTAAAACTGAAAATGCCATTAATTGGAACCATTGAGCTGCCACCTTTACCCCAGTACTGCCAACACATTTGCTCCCTTTAGGTGGCCTGTCTCATATACCTCTCATTAGCAGCACCTGCAGCTGCACAGCTAAAGCAGAAAAGGTGTCACATCTGGATAAGCGCCTTATTCTGCAGAGATGTTTGTCTCTTGTGGGTGCTTGCAGGGATCTGAAAGAGGGGAGATCCAAGTGACCTTTAATAAAAGGTGACTGCTTGGTGATGAAAAGGGCTTCTGATGACTTCCTGGTGGGAGTACGAGCAGCACCATCAATCAATTTCATGGAAATGGAATTTAACTCAGTGTGGTGGAAGACCTAGAGACAAGGCTGCCTTGTGCTTGAGAGTGTTTGTGAGGTGAAGATAAAAGTTCAAGATGCACTTTATATTTCACTTCCTTAAAATGTGTTGTGTTTTCTTAATTCTTGCAGTCCTGAAAGGATAATATTGGCTGGTAACCCTATCATATTCATAAATATTACATTCTGCCTTTTTGAGAAAACAGAACAGGTGAAACTATCAACTAAAATCTTACTACATAAGAAAATCCAGATGTTACAAGTAAGAAGAGGCTCAGTTTGTTGCTAACAGCTCGTAATTCAGTTCTGAGACTCACATTCATTTTTTCCCCCATACAGGATTCTGAGGAATCTGCATCAACTGCATAGCTAGACAGCTAATGACAATTACAGAAACAAACAAAAAATAAGAATCTTGTATGTGCCTGCTTCCACTTAATTTCCTGGGAAGCCACAGCAATAACACAGACGTGCTTTTATAAATAATATATATTTAAACAAGCTATGCGACAGAACTGAGGTGTGGAGCACTGCTACAGTGGAATGCCTCCAGCTAGATCATTTTAATTTCTAGATACATGGGTTTTACAGCAACACAGTACAAAAAAAAAAACATTCGACAACAATCTGACAGATTGTCATTTTCATAGCAAGATGCTATAGATACTAACATTTGAAAGACTGCAATTACTGAGTCATTCTTAGAACTCCGAAATGCTTGAGGGTTTTTATTTAAAAAAATAAGTGTATGGTATGGAGGGATCAAATCATCTGTGACAGAAAATAAGGTATTGTATTTACACCTAGTAATTTTATCTTTTGTACAACTGAGCATTGATTAAAATGTATTTTCAGCAAAGAAAAAAAACATTCATTGACTCGCTTTGATACAAGTCAAAAGTGAAGACTAATGGTTATTTAAATGACATACTGTATACAGTAATAGTAACAAATATGTCAAATACAGTGAATAACTTGTACAAAGAAAATCTTTCAGTTCTCTTGTCTCAATTCAGATTTTTTTGTCCTTTTAATAGCCTGAGAGCTTGAAAGAAACGTTATGGAACTCTCATGAGATTCTCTTACTCAT